TACATATTTAGCTCGTCATTTGATGACAGATCATACAAATTTGAATATTAGTATGTATTAATGTATTTATATACATATATATATGTATATATGTATGTATGTATGTATGTACGTATGTATGTATGTATGTGTTGTTTTGTCGACTATTTGACATGTTTGATTCCTTTTAGCCCTGCCTGGAGTAGTCTCATGGATTTGGCCCACGAGTTGTCATCACCTAGGGCGGCGCACGAAAACAGTCTTTGATTTCCCAGCCGCCCCCGAGACTTAAACGATGCATATTCAGGAACGCAGCCCAGGGACTGAGACAAGTTGCCAGCGAAGACGCATCAAAAGCCCAGGCACAGGTACCGATTCATGCAAGCCCTGGCATGCATCAATCACTCCGGCCACTGCCAGCGCCAGGGGACCGGCATCCTCGGCCAAGGCTCTGGTAAGCTCTTGAAAATTGCAGCTTGGTTCCCAGCACCTTGATGTTCGCGGCGTCTTGCCTGCACACGTGGCACATCAAAGGCCGACACTGAAAACACTTTCAGAGCTCGTTGCAAGTCAGGCAAGCTGCATCAATGGCAGCCAGCGTAGGGCAGCCGCCCATTGCTGGCACAAGCTGCATGAAGCCAGGGCAGCACCCATCGACAAATCGTCGGCTTTTAGTCCCACCAATCTCATCTGCGCAAGCATGGCCTTGGCTTCCCAGCATCAAATGGTAGGTACACAGCCCAACTCAAATCTACCGCAGCATACCGCAACCACTGAGCTTCTCAGTGCGCGGCCCCACTCTGGACCCACTCGCTTGAAACCGAGGTCATGGCAGCATTTAGTCCGATCGTGTCCATCTGCACGCTGCGCTGCCGCATCTCGGTAGACACCGTATGCACGGCCTGCCTCCAAGCGCTGGCAGTGCCCTGGGCCGCGAGTTGCGCATTGAAGCTGACCGTGTCGAGTTGCGCCTCCTGGATCGATGCCAGCTCCGCAAGGTGCAGAACAGTCTCCCAATGTCGAGAGAAAGCTGTGAGGCATGCATTGTGGGTCGTGGTGTCTGCCTCGACTTGCAAAGAGGATGCCCTTTGGAAGAGTTTCGAAGCTAGGAGCCACTGAGCGGAGTCTGCACAGGAAGAGATGGCCGCATTCACGAGCGGGGTGCTTCCAGTGCTTGCCACGGACTGATCTCGTGCTGTGTCCAGGAAGCGTATGGCATGTTCCCAGCGCTGACTCTTCTGACAGGTGCTGCAGGCGGCACCGTAGACGATGGCATCCATTTTCAAGCTCATGCGCCTCGCCCTTCCGATCAAGGCAATGCTCTCTTTCCATAGCCATCCACCCTCACAGGCTGAGACGGCTGCACTGTAAACCACTTCGTTCGTCGGGCCATGTTTACGTTCCAGCCAAGAAAGGAAGGACAGAGCCACCTTCGATTGCGAGGCACGTGCCAGGGCTTTCATGATGGATCCGAACGTTACGACGTCAGGAAGAACATCCTTGTCATGCATGGCCTCCAACAAGACGATGGTGAATGTCCAACTACATTCGTCGTGTCCGAGAGAGCTGAGGACAGCATTGTATGTGACCACGGATGGTGGTGGACCTGTTTTCTGAAGCTGCTCGAGCATCCCAAGGCACTGCGACCAAGCATGTGAGTTGCTCAATGCTGTTATAAACGTATTGAAAGTTACCAAGTCTGGTGGAGGTCCACTCCATAGCATCTGAGCGAGGATGTGATTGGCTACTTCCACTGCAGCACCAGTAGAACATGCATGCATAACACTGTTGTAGGCTATGATGTCCGGGGTGAAGCGATGCTGTAACCTCTCGAAAAGGACTAAAGATCGTGCCCAGTGCCGCTCGAAACGAGCACAGGAAGACATAGCTGCACTGTGCCCGATGACACCGTCCAGCCGACACCTCTTCGTTCCGAAGTCCGACAGAAGCCAAAGCGAGCAAGCCCATTGGTTGCCCTTATCGCATGCAGTCGTTGCAGAGTTGACGAGGACCTCACTGAATTCAAGCCCGTACCTCCCAATTCCACAGAGAAGATGCAAGGCGGCAGACCATGCATAGCCTCTGTCACATGCATTTAAAGCTGAACCCAGAATGTAGAGATCCGGATTCAGGTCACATGCATGGATAGCTTGCAGGACCTGAATGGACGAAGCCCAATGACTCGCTCTGGCGCAGATGCTCATTGCGGCCATTGGAGGTGCAAGTGCAAGCGGATGCCATCGATGTTCAGACGGCGACAAGGCCCTCTTGTCGTAAAGGCAAATCAAAGCAGATTCCCAATCTTTCCGCTTTCCTGCGGCTTTCACTGCCGCCGAAATTGAGAGAGGACTGGAAGCACCTGGCTGGGGCTTCATGGATTTAAGAAATCAATTCCTGGAGCCGCGCCCTGCGAGGCTGGATGGGCTGGCGAGGCTCAATGCTACAAGTAGGCGCACTCTCCTGCATGAGAACCGCTGCAACTACATCTCTTTTCATGGTGACTTTCTCATGGCAAGCAAATCTGATTGCATCCATTGGCACATGAAGACAAGGTGAAACCAACTTGGATGAGGCTTGCACTGGGCACGGTGAACCGATGGCGCTCACAGCACTGTACTTCCACCTGAGCCAACAGAGCAGAGCAAGGACTCTCGAGAGCTGCCTCTTCATCCTCCTGAAAATACTGCATGATAAGACCAGCACGTCCTCGGCCCTCTTTTTGCCCCGTGTTTAAAAACGCGTCGGCCGTCTTTCCGGCTCAGACCTCACCTGGGCCCGGGGCAGGCGCCTCGATCACCTCCGCAAAAACACAGCGAGCCGTGCGGTCACGACGGAAGCTCTTCAGCCCTGGCCCCAGCTGCCCAGCATTGCCCAGCCCTGGCCCTGGCCTCCCACAGCGCGTAGCCGTTGGTGTTCACATTTGCGTAGTTCACAGAGTCGAACTTCACCTAGGAGCAAGCGACATTTACTGGATGGTTCGTGTTTAGAGCCCAAGTCGTTCTGCCGCAAGAATTATCTGTGGCCACTGCGGTGACCGGATACTTGACCTCAGGTTTCTGGTTCACGTTCACCACCTGTCCTCGCTGCTGGAACCTTGGATCTTTGCAGGCCCAGAGCGAGTAGAGCAACGGCGCAGGCAGCCGAGATGCCAGTAAGACTCGGGGCGCAGGATCTTCACCCAAGAGCCCTTCTTTGGCCCTACCCAGGGACCCTTGGCCTGTGCCGAAGAAAAATTCATCTCTCAGGTACAACGGCACAGGGCAAAGCAAGATTCATTTGTCACGGCCTTCTTCTTTGGTGCCTTCAATTTGGCACACTCGTTACATCAGCATCCATGCGAGAAGAGCTCAGCCGTTCTTTCAAAGGCGCTGCCTTCTTCGCCTCAGCTCTGAGTGCCGTCACATCCTGGGACAGGCGGCCTCAAGCATCAGAACACTGAAACGGCATCCTGTCTCTTTGCAAGTGGAGCTATGGGGCAGTCTTGACGGCAGATCGACAGCTGGGCTCTTCCCTATCGAGTTACCGGTGATAGGTGTGCTAGTAGGAACTGCTCTTGACTGGAGTCCTCGACTACATGCTTGTGTTTTCCTTAGTGTCTGTGATAGGATCTGCTATGCGAGGATTGTCTTCGACTGCTGGATCGGCGTAGCCATTCCGACGGCTCTTGCCACGACACAAGTACGAAGTCAGGATCGACCAGACGGGTCCAGCAAACCTTGCAACCTACCTCGGAGGACTTCGGGGAAGTCCTGCCTTGAATGCCGGTGTTGACGAAGCCAGTGCAGTTCACCAGGGCCAGCGCCGCAGCGACCTCGAAGGGCCATGCAAAAGACGCCTCTGAGAATGCGGCGCATGACTTCCGGAAGGCTGAGCCGGCTGAGCTTTTGGCTGCCAGCAGCAGAAGGCCTCGAAGACGAAGAGCCTCGCTTGACTTGAGTCGAAGCCGGACTCACTCGATGGCTTATTAAGCCCAGCTGCCATGTTCAGGATCCGGGAGGCACAAAGGGCGCAAGTCTAAGCCCCTTCCACAAAATGGCTGCAGCATTGATTCGCAGAGTCTTTCCATGCATGTAAACACAAAACACTTGAAGAGCTCCGACGATGCTCCACTTGGGCACCCACGCAAGCTTCTCAACTGTGATTCGACCTGTCTAGCTGCAAAAGGCGACTGGTCCGATCTTTACATTCAACGAACTTGCGGAGCCTTTTGCAGCTCCTCTTTGATGTTTTTGTACATCCTGTACTCCTTCTCGATGGGCAGGATGTCCTCTGCAGACCGGGACATGCTGCGAAAGGCGAAGACTTCATATCAAGCAGGCGCTCATCAAGCCTTGTGAAAGCGAATCTTTCGATGATGTTGTAGAAGAAAGTCTGAGCGACATGGGAATCTGCGCTCCTTCTAGAAGCCACGTGGTTGCGTGTTACACGACGTTCAGAACTCGATCTGATTGAGACTGAACGGGCTGGCCGAAAGGAGCTGCTAGCAGTTCCCTTCTGTGAGACCCGATGAAGATACTTGCCCTGAACATTGAAGCGTTTGAATGATGCTTTGGAAAGGCCAGCCCAGCACAGGCAAATTGTTAGGTGCATCGCTCTCTTGGAACTCCTTCAGCTTGGTCCTGATGGCACCTGGCGATTGGCAAATTAAGTTTCCAGAGTCCAGGGCTGACATGGACAACTCCTCCAGCAAAGGATCCGGCCTTTTTCTTGCTGCAGCGAGTTGGCACGCGCCTGGGAGAATTTCTGGTGACTGCACTTCCCAGTCACACTCACCCTGCAGGGCGGCCTCGAGCTGCGAGATCTGCAACTCTGCTTTCTCCTTGTTCGTGCGCCTCGAAACCACATCGTCCACCACGACTCAGCGAAATCCTCTTGGGAACCCTTCTAGCTACCTGGATAGTCTGGATAGCACCCCTGTTAAGGAAACCTTAGACCAACTGTCCAGCGGAAACCCGAAAGGAACCCGAAAAGGCTTCAGCTCACCACGCTGGGAGAGACGACTCAGGCCTGGACCTGCCAGACCGCCTCGGGAAAATGGGACATGCTATGCAATGTGATGTGGCATAATACCTCTTGATGGGATATGTCGTGATATGGTATGGCGTTACATAGCGTAATGTACCCTAAGGGAAAGATCATCACGGAAACACATAGTGTGAAACAACACAGCACAGCACAACAAAATGTAGCCTAGGTAGGTTAGTACAGAATGACATGACATACTTACTTTTATGTAAATGCTGCATACATGTCACAAAGTGTGCTACAGTAGCTTAGCAAAACATAACCTTACATGACATGAACGAGCATAGCAGGGCATAACAGCAGATGAAACAATAACCTTGTATAACAACTCGGTGTCACTAAATACATTAAGCCATGCAGGAGGAGGTGATATGGTATGATGTAAGTACAGAAGAAATGTGCACACGTGCCATAGCATAGTAGAGCATGCCGTGATAAATCTAATATATTTATATATATACACATACATACATACATACATACATACATACATACAAATAACTATGTATATGTACGTATACATAACGATATCATACAACCCTATGTGACATCGGAAGAAATTTGAGGCAAGGCAATATGACATGATGTCATATATGACAACGTATTTTGAGAATCTCACCGATTAAAGTCCGGGCATATCATAACAGAAAAACCTTCCAGAAATCAAGCAAATAGGGACTGTAGTAAATTGCAGAGCATAATATGACACACTGTGACGTAACACTGTGACATAACAGCATCTAATGTATATGAATATGATATGCGGTTGTATTGTGTGAATACCGTACGAAACCATGTAGGTTATGCGAAAGTACTACTACATGTATCAAACAAAAACTACTGTGATGAATGTAGGGTGGTACGGCACTGTGGTGTAGCGTAGCGTAGTGCAGTGTAGCTAAACGTTGTGTAATGTTTTGTGCTGTAATCTTGTAAGCTCAGATAAGATACGATAATACAATGTGGTATATTACAACATGTAACAATTGAAACAGAACATGATCGCATGACATAAGACATGAAGTAGTACAACGTGCAACTTGCCAACCTCATGTAAAATGGCGTTATCTAGCACAATGTGCATCACAGGGAGGGCTGAGGTCGAGACGCACTCTCCGGGCCAGGCTGCCTGTGCGCTCCGGCACACTGCGACCGATTGAAACAACACCCCCGGAAAACAGTGCCCATTGCCCCGCCTACCCAGGAGGTCATCGTCGCTGTCTTGATCTGGAAGGCATGGAGGACAAAAGAAAGCAGTATGTATCTTTCGGCAGTCCGATGTGACATGAGGCTTCTGATGCCGAAAGGACATGAACACAATGTTACTTGGGACAGTAGCCACTCAGTACGTACAAGCCCTCGCCACCTCGAGCCCCGGAGTCAGCCGTCGCCAGCTGGTTCTTGAGCCGCCTGCAAGCATCTGAAGCACGTTGGGTGGCAGTCAAGAACGACAAATCTCTAGCTGGCCTGTAGTAGAGGTACAGCGGTCGCATGACCTCCTTCTGCGAATGGTTCGGTAGAACCTTGAACCTCACCCCATCCAATGCTTGCATGAGAAAACCTAGATTGGAGAACCGAGCTCTGTGCTGCTTCTTCCAATCAGTGTCGTAGCGTTTCAGTTCCTTCCGTGTCAAAGCATCAGCAGAGTAGCACCTGCGTTTGCCACTGCTGCTCTGGCAACTGAATTCAGCTGAGGGTCCGCTTTGACACGTTTCTTTTCCTGGCCAAGCTCGGTTTTGCCTCAGAAACACGCCATAGGCACGTTGAGCGGTTTGTCTCTATCTAAGCACTGCAGGGGTAGCGCTTTGTTGCTTTCCATGTTTGTTCCTCTGTGCAGATGTTCAAAACTCCCGGCACATTGACATGCATGCAGATTTCCCACAATGCGACGGCACTCGAGATTGCAATCGCTGAACACGATCGGCAAAAGGCTGCCCACTCTCGAGTTACCGGAAGGCTACCAGAAGGTTGCTCTAAGGATGCTTGAAGGACACTTTAAGGATACTCTGAGGGTTCTGTTATAAGGATATGCTCTACGAAATGCTACGAGAAGAGGCTGGGGCTCGAACTCATCAGCGTGATGCGCTTGGAGCTCAGCATCTCCTGGCCCAGCCGCGAGCCGCGTCTAATTTTGGATTTGGGGCCTAAAGAGAGCCCTTATGGAAACCCTATGAAGCACTTATAATTACAATCCTTATGAATCCCCCTTACCCTTATGCTAACCTTACGATTTCCTTATAAACGCAGATGAATACATCAAATATAAATTCCCCTTATCGTACAACTACTGTGGAGTCCGTTTATAGTATCCTCACAATAGGCTGATGGGAACCTTATGCTGCCCTCATGGCAGTAAGTTTTTGCAACCTCATAGTGCCCCGTGCCCGTGTCATACCACTCGGTAGTCGTATAGCACCGACAACAGTGCCCTGTTTCTAGCTTTGTGGTAGTAGCCTTGTGGTCATCTTGTAGACTCAGAGTCCCCATAACTCTATCTTCTCAGAAACCCCAGACCCCCACTCGAAGTATTCAGGCCACGATGCCCTAAACCCTAAACCCTAAACCGTTGCCTCGTTGAGGTCCAGTCTGCGCAGGGCATGCTGATAGCGCTGCTTACGCTCCTGCCAGCGTCGCAGAGAGGGTTTAGGGATAATTGTACAACATCTGGAGGAATCTCAGCGAATTGTGGCTCCACTTAGGAACTTGCTTGAATATGCCCACAAGGAGTTCACATCCCGGCCTTTGAGACATGCAGAGTGTGAACTTTGAACCAGGCTGTCCTCAGAGCTCCATGCCAGAACTGGACCTTCCCCGATCACGTCGCCCATCTCGGCCCTCAAGTGTTCGACTGAGGTAGAATCAGGTAGAATGCAACAGCACCGAACAGCGCGGGAAAAGCTGTGAGATGCTTCCAGTCGTCAATCTCAAAGTAATGCTTGGACTCAGGTGTGTGCCCGAACTCATCCAGCTCCACATCGTTGACCCACTGTGGAGGGATAGGCTTGACCTCCAAGTCCAAGCTCACAAGGTGGCTCACACAGAAATGTGCAACTTGAACCAAAAAACAAATACAATGGCTGAGGTATCGGCAGTGTCCGGTACCACGATGGCATCGATGTTCATAAACGGGTGGGAGTACTCCGCTTTGAACCTCGATCTTTTCATATCTGAGGCTGTCTCGAGCTTGGAGTGATCAAGGGCTGCGGCAGTCCAGAGATGTAGACATTTAAGCTCTCCCCCAAGACCTCCTTCACCTTGCAAGCTGCAATGCGAACCGCACCGTTCACATAACAGTATTGGCTCAGTCTCAAGTGACCTTCTGCGCATACCCCAAACCGTGAACACCTCCCTGGTCACAAGGAGGTTCTCCCGAGCACCGAGCCGACTGCGAGGCCATGGCGGAAGAGGCTCCCAGGGGCTCCGGGGCTCCGGATGAGGTTCAAAGAGCTTAGAGCTTAGGGCTGGGGCGGCCAGGGCGGCTAGGCCCAGGCCTACCCTCCTTTCTAAGATGACTCTGGGTTTTACATTCTAGAAGGTTCACAACAAGCTCCAGCGAAGAATCTTCTTAGAACTTCTCTGTCCGAAAAGAGCGAACTGAGTGTGTCATGCGTTTGGCGTACGTTGTGCATGCATGGCGTCGGAGTTCCGTCTCTCTGTCCATGCTTCACATGACATGGCCTGGCAGACGGCGGCTGCCTGCTTTGAACAGAGATCGATCCTGTCCGCCTTCGCAAACCGGCTTCGGGACCCCGGGCCCTTTCATGTGGAGCACGGCTCGGAATGAACGCTGATCCAAGGACAAACGTGAAACCCTGGTTGAGGCTCCAACTAGTCGTGCCGTCCCACATGCGGCAAAATCACTGTGGCCAGAAATCTAACTCATCGAGCGTGAGGCTTCAGAGCCAGTTTCCCCAAATCCTGCAGGCCTTGAACTTCGTGCCCTGATCGTGAAGCTCGAAGAATATACTCCAAATCCGCACAACCGAAGGGTCCAACAACCTGCTTGCCTGGGAGATACATGACCACGTCGTGTGCTGTGCGAAGTTTAAAGGAGCCCACAACCAATTTGCAGCATTTCAGCGGTTTAGGCCTTCGACTTCAGTGGTCTGAACCAGAGCGCACCCAGAACCCGCTTATTTCAGCACCTGTGGCCCCAAAGAGGCTCCAGGGTCTAAGGTGTAGGAAGGTTTAGGGTTCTTCGTCGAAGGTTTCCTTGCTGTTGTGGGACCGACTGAAACCCGGCACATCTGTAGTCCCCGGTCCCCAGTGCTAACACCCTACAAGTCACGTGAAGGCTTTGCCCATTCACATACGATGTAAGAATCTACTGTACTTGTAAGAACGTAAGCACACAACAAGCCGCAGACGCATAAAGCCGTTCGCGCACCCTGTGGACCCCATGAGTCTTAAGACATGACCGTGGAAGCTGATCAAGCTTGCAACATCTTTGCAAGCCTCACTCGAGGGTAAGTTGGCCACGTCAGATTGGAAAATTCTTTGCATGCCCGAGTCTTCAGCGCATAGAACTTGCAACTCCGGGCCGTTTAACTGATCGAGTCCATCGGCAATCGACCATGACATGTTCCATCAAAACTGTCGGTATGATTGCGGACGCAATGTCGAGACAGTTCAGGCAATATCGCTGTTCGGATGGCTGCTTTAGCAGCGAAAGTACGAGCAGCCAGGTGATGCTGGTGCGGTTCGCGGGTCCGGAGCTGTGCAGTACCCCTCTGGGCTTTCTCCGATTTCGAAGTCCATGACAGTGGCTTCAGTCTGCTTTTGCACGGCAATGGCGAAGGCAAGGGACTGGGCCGTTACTCTGCGGTTGTTGGCCTCTCGCAACGGTGCGTCGTGATGGAGATGGAAGCTGAATGACAAGGCACAATTGCAAGTAAAATCTGGGCCTGCCCTTGAACCGAGCCCGTTCCGCCTGCCAGATGTCAGAGCTGACTGGGCCTTGGGCCTCCCTGCGAGCAGTGAGGCCTCTCGCAGGTAGGACTTGAGCTGTAGGACCTGGTTACACTCCAAACCACTCCTTGCGCGTAAGTGCCGCATCGGGCAGAAACCCGGGCCTCTTCTTGGAGAGACTCGATCTTCTCGCGGTACATCCGATCCTGCTCACGAGACGGGGAAATGTTAAAATTACTTAAGCTGCTACGTTGAGAGGCATCCTGCTGCTCCCGCTGAGTAACCTCATGCTGGCGCTTGGCAGCGCTCTGAAGGTCCCGGTAAAGGCAGCTGAGGCTTCTGCAAGAACCATGTGGAACATGACCAGCAGCCTCAGCTCATGTTAACGAAAGCCCATGCATGACGAGGAAAGGAGGCAATCGAAGAATGGCTGCCAGAAACTGTGCAATGGCATACAAACCTTGAGGCTATTTCTTGCGATAGTCGCAGCTTAAGCCTGGAGTGCCTGCGCAAGCTGCTACATGCTTTCAGTTGACACGCGCGTTTCAGAAACATCTTGTGTCTTTCGGAGTGGTGAAGCTCAGTTTCGGATCCTGTGCAGGCACACCATGCAACTTTCTTGCGGAGATGGACCGTCTTTACAGGCCGAGTCCTTCTGCAGGCAGCGACGAATCAACCCGCTGCAATTTGTGCTTTCCGCTCTGCGACAAAACCCTTCTCTGCTTCTTTGATGCCACACTCTTGGCATGCTTTAACGAGGTGTTTCTGAATTCACATCGTTCTCACTCTGTGTGACTGAACAGCAGAACCATGTAGAAACGCTTCAACGAACCCCAATGCCAGTGCCAGAAGCGGCCGGTTTGTGGACTTTCTTCCTGGTCGTTGGTGCAATTATACCTGATGCCCACACAAGTGTATAGCTTCATCACAAAGAGCCACCATAAAGAATGATCACCTCACCGGACCAAAGAAGCCAACGAGGAACAAAATTTGGAGAGAGCGAACCCAAAGACAAGGCATCTTAATACATACAGGTTGCTCTGAAGGTTACTTCAAGGATACTGCGTCAGACAGGCGAAACTGAGTGGAGCACACGGCTCCAGCCCCTGCCCCAGCCACCTGCATCCAACTGAGTACTCTGAAAGGGCTGAATCTTGCGCTTCAAAGTAAACATATTCCTTAAGGCCTTAAGGGGTACGGTGCTTGGCTCTTCTGGACATTCGCTTTTGGCCGGCGGACGGCCTTGGCTCCAGACGTAGCTGGCGGGGCGGCCTCAGAGCAAATAAAAACCAGATCGGAGCCCCGTCGTGAGAGGCTTTCCGAGCCCCGCGGCCGGGGAAGCCGAGGGCTCAGAGCTCAAGGCTCGGCAGGCTCGGCACGATGGCAGACCTCCAGCAGAGCGCTCTTCGAAGGCTCAGATCGGAGCTCCGGAGCTCCGGAGCTCTGCCTCGCAGTGCTCTCTTCCAGGCCAAGGCCATGGCGGCCATGGCTATCGGTGTTCTTGGGACTCGAAGACGGTGCGAATTACACATAATCCCTCAAAGGCATCATGAGTGCTGCAGCTCAACTTGGGAAGCATGCGGCTGTTTGTCATGTTCTCACGGTTTGGTCGGCTGTCAAGGCGGCAGGCCCCCATGAAGGACGTTCAAGATGCATGCTCCGTCGCCCACATTGGCCGAGCTGGGATCAAGCTCGGGATGCGAGATTTTCTCCGACATGCACATGACATGCAAGCGTCAAGCATTTCGAATTCAAGATCGAGGCGATGTCGGACGATCTACGCCTCACATGGCAGAATGAAAAGGATTCACACATCCTCCTCACTGCCCCAGGCATCGCTGCCACTGGCCTCTTCGTTAATGGATTCCGGCACAGACATGCTCCCATCAAACGAAGCATCTGCGTATTCGTCGTCCTCCTTCTCGGATTTGGCCTCCTTCGCCTTCGGCGATGGGACCAACACAGGACCTGCTGGGCCCGGGCTCGGGCCAGGTTTAGAACTCATCAACGAATCCAATGCGTCGAGCTTCTTTGCCTCAACTTTGGGCATCAGGGCATCCAACGCATCCGGTGCCGATTCGAGTGGAGCCGCCGGGGCTTGCTCTTTGGGCTGCCCTGACGTCTCTGACTTCTCGCCACTTTTTGGAGGCTCCTCCGCCTCCTCGGCAGCCTCCTCGATGGTGCCGACGGTGCCTGCAACTCCCAAACCTGCCAAGCCTCGCTTGGCGACAGGTCTCACGACCTCGACGAAATCGCACTTCTCGTCCAATTCTGTGGAGAGCTCCACGCTGTAGTCCATGCCAATGCTCATCTCATTGCAAGAGGCACTGACCTGGCTCGAGCTGGCGTCCAAAGCACCAGAGCCGTTCATGGGAGAGTCCGCAGATGCCGATGCTGAACCAGCAGCCTCCATCAAACAAACAACACTTTGCAAGTTGCATTTGTGCTTTCCAAGCCCTTGGGGTCCGGGCTGGTGACTTGGTGTTCCTCGCTTTGCCTTCATGGAAGCAGGCATGACGCGTGAGACTTGCCCGGGCCGGGCCAGGCGGCCGGCCTACCGTGCTGCCCTTGGAAGTCGGGGTTGGCTCTCCAAGTTCTGTCTCCTGCGGGGCATTTGCATCAACTTTCGAAGGATCATGTGCCGCTCTGTGGAAGAGAGGCAAAAAAGCCGCATCATCACGACTGTCTGATAGGTGGACAGGACAGCAGCCTCAGGTTCGTCAAACTTCTTGACATCTCGCACGCCTTTACTTTTGGTCTGCAGCCTCGGCAGATTGATAAACCAGCCCAGGAAGCTGTGCATGAATTCCAGGGGGCTGTCTCCGAATCACGAGATGCTGTTATCCCGCTGGCTTGGGAGTCGTGGGGCAAGTTGCAAACATCTTGCCAAGCCTCTACGACTTCTTGATGCCGCCTTGTGATGTTAGTTGCACTTCTTGCAGCGGTGCATTGGTGATCTGCGGTTCTGCCCTTGAATTGTCTGCCATCGCCGAATTGCAGTTCAATTTGTGGGGTGGCCTTGCACAAGGAGCAAAACAGGTCAGCATTATGGTCTGTGCATGACAGGCCTGTGGGTCTGAGTGAGTTTGTATGTACCTGCCAACAGCTGTCATCCCGACAGCATCGTTCATAGCCTGCAACTTGGACGGTTTTGGAGGTGTCTTCGCAGGAATTGTGCATGTTCAACAAAGCTTAGCCAGATTCACGAAGCGTTGCTGCTTGCAAGTTGCGTCTGCGGGTGGGTTGAGTATCGCGGCTTTCGAGCATGTTCTCACGCGGTGTCGAGACAAGACTGCAGCGAAACAGCTCGCACAAGCATTGTCTATCAGGCCGTTCTTGAAGGTGATCCCGCTGCATCCGCAAATCACAAACATTGTGCCCTCGCGCATCTCACAGTTCCAGATGCTCGTGTTGCGCTGCGTTGATGAGTCTTTACATATTTTCACACGTCGCTGCAATGAGCTGTACAGGGTAGTCTGCGGGTGGGTCTCCCCAACTATGGCTGCTGTCGGATGCAGGAGTGGGATGACGCATAGTGCTTCTCATGCCGAGCTTTCTTTGCAGCCACTTGCAGTTTCCCTGAAGAGTGCTCCTGAAAGAAAGCTGGGAAGGTGGCTACTTAGCAGACGCGTCTTGAGCATCTCAGCTTTTTCTGCTGTGCGTATGGGATGTGAAGAAATTGCGAGGATTTGCCTTGGTGCTTTCGGCAGGGCCTACAATTATCTACTCTCATCCCAGTCCGGTCCCGACACCAGGGCACCTCTGGCTGGCTTCGCGGCAGGACGAATGAGGGAAATACTCAAGTCTTGCGGCAATATACCTTGCAGGGAATCCGATGGCTCTCTCGTTGGAGGCATTTTTCCTTTGTGAGTGGTCGAATCGACAATTCTTCATCTGGTTCCCGGTTTTCCTTCTTGGGTTCACGGCCACTGCATGCTTCGGTCAGCTGTCCCCGTCCTCTGCAACGGTTGGGAGGGACTTCTCCTCCTCCGTCTTCAGTGGAGCAGGTCTCGGCCGACCTGGATCGTGAATACAAGCTCCCAGCTCCAGAGATAAAAACACTCAGTCTGCCACCTCCAGGACCGTCTGAAGTCGCAGCTCCACGGCCTTAGAGGAGCCGCTCCAGCATCCGCTAACGGGGCTCCGAACAGAATGCGGGACGTGCTGTCGTGGCAGACTGGGACGTGGCACCACTCGAATCTCCGATGCTGTCCTTCCGTCCAATACACTTAAGCAAGCGTTGCTTCCGCACGCCGGGTTGCAAATGCCGTCTTCCCTTCTTTTGCCAGTCGCGCAGCATGCCGACCGTCGGGATTGAATTCAGCCTCTCACTTCGTGCATGTTCAAGCTATCTTCAGACCCACAGCATTGTTAGAGTACTAGAGAAACCCCCCTATTGCGGGCCACACCGTCTCGAGCTTTCATTGCTGGTGCTCTGGCTCCTGGGTCGGCAAAAACGAGAGAATCTGAGGCCGCTCGTGACGCTCTTGGGTTCTTTCAGTCTCTGGCGCTGTCGTCCTCGAAATCATCCTCGTACACCTGCAGACAGGCGGTTGAATATTGCCGAGGCCCAAAAACCACAACTTGGGCCCAGGCTTCACTGCGAGGACTGCCACATGCCTCCCGGCAGGGGACTCTGTTCGCCTCTAGCTGCGGCTCTGGGTTTTGCTCCTGGCCTCTGGTACCGAATTCAATGTGGCCCCGACTGCCTCACCATGAGAGACTATGCAAAGGACGTAACTATCTTCGCCGTCTACCCTTCGGCCTCCAACCCATCTGTTGCGCACCTGGAATATTCCTGCACGACTTTGCTTGGGCTTCGTCTTCAGAACCTGCAAGGACATCCCGGCCTGCGAAAGGCCGTCTGGGAGAGAAGTTTCCTCAGCCACCAGGCAGCCTCTCCTGTGACGATATAGGATCACCAGCTCCTCCAAACCAAGATCCACCTCCTCTGCAAGGACGAGCTCCACACCTTTGCCACAGGGCCTCCAGCATCCAAATGCCTGCCTCTCGGGCCCCAAGTTTGGTTGTTCCGGTTCCGGTGACTTGAGTCTCGCTTCCTCACCAGAGCGCCTGTACACCTTGGCACGGAATGTTGAGTCCTGCTCCAGGACGAGGGACGACACCACTTCTGCATCCTCAGCGAGGATTACCTCCACATGCTCCCAGCCGGAGGCAGCAACTGGCGCAGAGCCCGCACGGGCGGTCACTCTGCGCACTGGCTCGACTGAGCGGCGAGTGGCTTCTCCAACCGCATGGCCCATTGGGCGGGGGGGGGGGGTCGCGAACAAGCCTCTCCAGATCTCTCTCCAGGGAGTCTCTCTAGTCCATAGTCCACCAATAGTCCACGAGTCCACCCTTCAGCTAAAGGCACACTTGCAGGTTCTAATCAGAAAGACCTGTTCATGATGACGACATGAAGACAGAGGCTGCGCTTCAGGAAAGTGCCTTGGGCGTGCCAGACTCCACCAGCACCCTGTGACCTTGCCTTGTTTTTTGCAGCCTGCACAGCTCGCACTCGAAAAAGTCGCGGATCAGGTCATGCGATGGCCTGTTCGCCATCACATTCCAGACACGCGGGCCTAAGACGCCCAAACTCTTGCTTGGGGCTAGGTGATACCATGACACACCATGGCCCTCTTACAGTGCCGAAAGAAAACGACAGGGCTCCCACAAATGGTGGATTATGTCTTATAGTGTCCTATGATGTCTTCGGCGTAGCCGGGTAGATCAGATTGGACAGCACTCTTGTGTCTCATAAAGCCATGATGCAGCGCGAAGTCGCGTGATCTCACGATCCGGGATTATACACTCTTCGATGTAAACAATTGTAACCGGAGCACTTTGGCGGGCAACTCAGGAGCTCTGCGGAGGACACAAGCCGTCTGCTGCCTCGGCCAAGGCGCCCCCCGGCACGAATTCAGCGCTTGCCTGCCTGGTCTTGGGTCTCGGGGCGCTGCTCTTTTTCCACACATGCCGCAGAAGGAGTGTTCAGCCGACATAGGGGTGCCTGGTTTCCGCTTGTCAAGCACGACATGCAAGGCAACAAAAGTCGTCGCTGCGGGCAACGAACTCAGGCGCGCTCCGCAATACGCGCAGAACCTGCGAACTCCCGAGCTTGCCTTACAGAGCAGCCACGCTGAAGGGTCGAAGCACCGTGAGTCCCGGTTCAGCCTGCGAACGCTCGATGCTCTGGTTCATCTCGTTCCTCGGCGGCTTCTGAGACCTCTTCTCACAGTCCCATGGCCTCTCTCTCGTAGAGAAACGACCCCTAATCACCGTCTTCCTGCCTTGTCTCATGCGAGGTCCATCCGGTGTCCTCCTGACTGACAACCTTTGCCGCGGAACCTGTCAAGAAACTGCGTAGCCGTAGCTCCAGATCGGAACACCACGGACCGGGCCTTCCACGTTGTGGATGTGCTCCGGCAGGGGACGAAAGAAGAGTGCCCGGCCGCACTGTAGCGGACGCCTGGCATGTGTGAGCATGATACCTCTGTACACTGGACAAGAAACTCTCGATGGACAAACCAGCACTTTACCTTAATGGACGTTGCCTGCTGCTGCGACTGAGCCGCATGTTAGCATAATGCTCAGCCTCGTTTTTTCATGTCGACTCTAAACCCCTGAGCCCCGGCGCAAGGCAGCTACATCTTTCAAGCGACTGAGCCCGGGTCGTTTCGTTCGAAGCCCTGCAAGTCTGCCGGCCTCGGATACAGCAGTTGACGAAAGCCTCGCCCGGGCGGCTCCACCAGAGCCCTCAACATGATGGCTGCCGGAGTATCCGGAGCTGACAGCCGCAGCCTTGGATGGCTCTTCCCACAAGTCCGTGGAAGAACATTCGGAACTGTGCCCCTCCCGTACAACATCGTACAACAAAAGCCACTAGAACATTCTGTCCGAATTTTGCCTGTGGCCAACTGCTCCCGTGATTCTCCACTCTTGGGCCCGAACGGCCGGCCATGCAGTCGCATGTAGAACTCTTGGGCGGCCTGGAAAACAAAACAGCTTTTCTGATAGCTTCGAAGAGCATCTGCAGTCATCCTCACAGGACTTTTCTGCTTAGCTATGCTGGCCGATGAATGCCCGGGATAACGATTTTGAATGCTCGTCGGTAGCGATCTCGTTGCATCCACTCAATCGCCCTTTCGGGCTACCCTTGCTGGCCGCCCTGCTCGTGACAGCTTCTGGGCATACACATTTGATAAATGCGGTGGGCCTCTCCAAACCCTCCCCGGCTCCAAGGTTCCAGGGTGCCGGGTAATTAGAAACGAGAAAAGCGACAGTAGGCCTCCACCGCCCCCATCGCAACCGGTCAGCAAAAACAACATGTCTCTTAACAGGGAAACATAGGGAAACGCTCCAGGGCGGGACAGGGTGCAACTGAGTGCAGATCCAACTTCGGCGAGCAAGTATACAGCCTACATGCCTTTACGCCCTTTCAAGAGTAAATGCACAGGTGCGGCCAAACAGTAATCAGAGGATCAAGAACGAGGTAGCCGAAGAAGGGAAAGGGAAATTGCACAGCTGTTCTAATACCCATCACCCTTCAAAAAACGAAGTCACTGTTCGTGAAAAGATGTATCGCGCAAACCTCCGGCCTCCCACGCCATGAAGTTGATGAATGCGAAGCCACGATTTCCTCTGCCTGCAAAGGGTGCAGAAACCGGAACAGAGTCGCTGCAAACCGTGCTTGTTCAGCACACTCCCCGGACCGTGCGGCTGCATCGGAAGGTAGAAGAAGTCGAATTTGCCTGCATCCATAGGCTGATGACTATGGCAAACCGAATCTCAGTCCGAGCTTCTGGCCCAAGAAGCCCATGTCATTAATTTCCCCTCGGCTTTGGCAGTAGATGACGTGCTACCCTATGCCGCACGAGGCGACTTCACATCTGCATAGTGCTACACATATTAGAGGTCACACCAAACTGCCGCAGAACATGCAAATGCACACATTTGTCCGAGATGCTCATCAGCTTTTGCTGTGTGTACTTGCTCGGCACGTTTCGTATCTGGCATGTACTTGCAGAGGAGCTGCAATGACGGCATGCGAAAGGACGAGTCGGGTGCACCATGGCTGTTGTCAGCCCGCTTAAACCATTTCCAGCCAATGCAACCTTCGAGCTTTCACACCGTGGCGAAGCTCAAGAATGAAGCCATACCGAGCCTCTCTGGCGCGAAGGATCTGCAAGCAGGCAATGCTCCAATCAACACATTGAAGGCACAGAACCGTCCACCCCGTCGCTCACAGAGGTGTGTCCAAAGTGTGCCATGTTGAGCTAGGAGGTTGCACGTGTGGGCAGAGGGATGATGCTCCATGCGATTTGCCCATTGTGATAACTTCACCGTTGATCCAACTGGTTTGATGGAACAGAAACGAAACGACTACGGGCGACTCGGAGTTGCCTTTTTGCAAGCCACACTGCGATGGTCTTGTGTAGGTACGATCTCGGAGCTCGACAAGAAACTTAATCCCAGCGATGAGTTGAAGTGCTGCGAAGAAGCATTTCGGTCGATTCGGGCAGTTGTGGCAGGAGCAACGAGCTTCTGTACTCTTGAAAACTGAAGTAGACTGAAGTGGTGGCGAAAGTGACGTCGGCCCTGGCCTCCGGATCAACGGGCTTTTTGGCCTCGACCTGCGACTCCACGTCCTGGGAAAGGCTCGGAGCCTTCAGACATCCGCAACTATTGAAGGACTGTGCCACAAAGTCCGCGAGACAGCTCTGCAAGCGTGCGCGCGCGCATGTTTACATCTCCTCTACAGTACAATACTCTGTGTGCACAGTTACAAGCACTATAATGTATGCCTGGATATACAGTGTTAATGTATATATGTATAACATCATGTATATGTCTTCATGTCAGGTTGCCTCGTGTGCCAATGCACTCCAATCGTAGGTGCCGTAAGCATAGGCACCTGGCAGACAGAAATCTTCTTCAATCGGGAGGCACATTGGCATCCCGTTCCCAGTATCTCGCCTGAATAGGATTCGCCCAAGGCGTCGGGAGCAAAATGTCCGAAGACCTCGCAGCACTGAAAAAACGGAGTGTACCGTGATAGAAGACTGCGGAGGCAAGCCTCTGCAGCAGAGCCTGGCAAGTATTTGCAATCAATTCACAGTCATACACCCCACTCCTGCACATCCTGTGCCTGGGCAGGCTGTAGGATGGCTGTATGGGTGCGCTGCACCCACCGCATGAGGATCCTACGCATACAAGGCACCCTGGAAAATGTCTGACTCCCTGACACACGCTTTTCACGAGCCTCTGGCCAGAGCAACATACCTGTCCAGGTTGCCCTATCAGCAACAGACGTTCTCTGGTTTGTAGAAGGAGTGAGATAGTGGGAATGGTAAGGCCCTATAACATGCCAGCAGACGGCCAGCGAAGATCATCCGAAAACGTGCTAAAGCTCTCTGCGGCTTTTTTGAATGCAGCTCAGAATAAAACCATCCAGAAAACAAAAATCAGGGGATCAGGCGAGGAAACTCCGGGCACGTTGACATGAGATCAAGTTCAGCATCAAAGCTGCGGAGGTGCAGTAACACTAGAGTCACAAGAGCCTTCGGCAGGTCCGACAGTGCAAGCGACCGCATGCCATGCTCTTCCCAGACAGCGTCGAGGAATTGAAACTAAAATTCATCCGACAGCACCGGGGGGGAGAGGCAGAGAGGGAGAGAGAGTGCAGAAACATAAAGAAACAAGAAGACTGAGAGGTTTGTGCGACCTTGCCTTGGTATGAGAAATCGTCGTTCGAACCGCTTGAGACGAAACGAGCCTGCACCAATCAGACTGAGGATCAGACACGTGCTAAACAGGGACGCTTCGTCGTTTCGGCTTCTCTCAGAGACATCGAATGCTGCGCCTCCGGCGTCATTTGACTGCAAGGGCCCGATCCCTGGGCAGAGCCTGCGGCAGAACCTGCACGGGCGGAGGCAAGTACTGCACCGCGCATAAAGTGACGGCATGGGCCTGTGTAGGTCTCGACGGAGCTGTGGCCATCCCAACTTCTGTCACTTCCTGCACTCTCCCCTTCTCTAAGACCCGTCAACCAACGAAGGCGAAGACCATCAGGCTCACGGCACCTTGTTTTGGATGTGCTCTCCGAAGGAATGATGGCGATCCAGTCTCCATTGAAGCCTCAAGGACCAGCGGCTGCAGTTCCGAGCTCCGAGGCTTCACGCTCGGGCAGCTGCAAGCATGGGCGGCGCACGGGACCTCGGACTGTCAGACTCCGAGTCATTTTCTGCAACCTGACTCCTGACCCTCCCAAGCCTAAGATGGAGACTTTGCGCCAGTTGCAGCGCTGTCTGTTAACCAGCGTCGGGGATCTGGTTGGATGACCCAGGGATCCTCGCGTGAGATTCATGCGAGATCCCACGGCGCGATCTTGGGATTCGTATGGCTTGCTGGCCTCATCGTCCCTCTCTGTCTCTTCGAAAAACTCGAGGAAGGTATTCTTGATGCACGCCTCGCGAGCTGCGATGCCGTCGATTCTTCGTGCAATCTACACACCCATTCAGGCCAGCGATGATACGGCGCATCACGGCGCTGCTTGAGCGAGCAGGCAGCAAACTTGCAGCGCCTGTTGGTGGCGGAAGACGTCATCCTGCCACCGAGACGAGGTCTACTACGATGTCCAGCGCTCTCTTCGCTTCGCTTCGAGGCTTCACAGCTCCACGCCTCGGCTTCTCTCATTGCCCAAGCCATGCATCAACGGCTCGATCAGCGCAACCGCGGAGAGCCCAACTCGACGAAAAGACTAAGCTGCTGCAAGTAAACAGGAAATCTGTTAAGTGGCTACCTGAATGGGGACCCATGCGAGGGATGTGTGATTGCTGATGGTAAACAGTCCCTTGAGCCAGCGAAACGCGGATCGCAAATGTTTCGGTATTCACTTCCAAGGACCCGATGACAAGCATCTCTCTCCTTCGCAGGACCTGGCATCTCCGCCAAGCCTGAAGCAGCTTCATGCGGCAAGCATGACACAGCAGAACTCCGGTTCCAAAGCAAAGGGACCTGCAAGTTGACCGGGAACCTCAAAGGCAAGGCTGGGCGGACCGTAAAGCAAGATTGATGAGGCTCGCCCAGGGGTGGAAACTTTTTTGGGGCCCTTTTATTTTTTTCTTTTGGGCCCTTTCCTTTTTTTTGGTTGGTGCTTTCCTTGGGCTTCTAGGGAAAACCCTCTTTTTTCGGTTTTCCTACTGAAAAAACTATTTTCCTTGCCTCTATATATATATATATATATATACACTGTATATAAATATATGCTACCCCCCCCCGACCTACCTCGAAGCCTTCTGTGACCTTACCCTGCACACATCAAAACTCCAATATACATGTTAAGTATTGCCTAGCACTCCTTTATCTACAACAGCTTACAAAGACATAAACCCGTTAAAACCAGAATAATCATGTTAAGTATTGCCTAACACCCCTTTTTTACAACGATCTATAGCGATATAAACCCATTAAAACCAAAATAATCATGTTAAGTATTGTCCAACACCTCTTCACTACAACTACATAAACCCCACGACACCAGTTAAAACCAGAATAATCATGTTAAGTATTGCCTAACACCCCTTGTCTACAACGATCTATAGCGATATAAACCCATTAAAACCAAAATAATCATGTTAAGTATTGTCCAACACCTCTTCACTACAACTACATAAACCCCACAACACCAGTTAAAACCAGAATAATCATGTTAAGTATTGCCTAACACCCGTTCTCTACAACGACATAAACCCTGCAACATTAGAATAATCATGCTAAGTATTGCCTAAGCCTTCTTGGCTACAAAGAAATAAAACCCGTAACTCCGGATAGTCGTACTAAGTATCTCCAAACGTCTAGACTTAAAACGAAAAGAAAACTGAAATATGTCTGTGTTGCGACCAGCCAAGGCACCTGGAATGGGAGGGAGCTTGTGTTATACATACTACATACTGCAAGGATGACACAAATCAATTAGGGAAACACCTGCGCATACCGCTTTTCCTCCTAACAACATCGTCACGCGTGAAACATCCTTCAGTGCTTTGTCAGCACTAGACGTACTTCGTCATGCTCTGCATGATACGGACACATCTTCCATATCTCGTTGGGGCTATAAACATCCAAAGTAGCAGGACTGCCACTTTGGCACTCATTGCATTCGCCTTTACACGTCCGATTCCACCCAGTCTTGCTTTCCAAGTGTTCCACCTGGATAACTGCTTTGGGATCTAGATATGTATGGAAAAGCATGGCAAGTATTGTGGTTGCCGCGACGCTCCTGTGCTTGCCTGCTCTACATTTACAAAGCACGTCGATTTCACGTCGTGACCAGGCCAAGGTAATGACCCGTGCCATCAGGCAGCGAAATTTACTTAGCGACAGTAAACGATTCACTATTCGTGGGCTCCAGCCTATGTGAGACAACGTAGTCGGGTCCTTTCCTGGATCGGCAAATTTTTTCAGATCCAGGATGACTACAGCTGCCGAAGCAGAAAGATTTCTACTCTCATTCCCGCTATACAGTTGAACTACCATCAAAGGCGGAAAGGCTGGTTCCTTCACGCTGTGACTTCCTGAGGTAGAAGGCGGAAAGGCTGGTTCCTCCACTCTGGGACTTCTTGAAGTAGAAGGCGGAAAGGCTGGTTCCTTCACTCTGGGACTTCTTGTGCGCTCACGTTCTGAGGTAGAAGGCGGAAAAGCTGGTTCCTTCACTTTGGGACTTATAGCTGAGGTAGTACAAGCAGGAGAGGTCAATGGATGATCTTGCTTCCCAGGATCATCTTCAGCCCGACGTACTGGAAGTGCTTTAGCGGGTACTGCGGCTTTGTGTTGTAGGTTAAGATCCGGCGGTAGAACATGCTTCCCAGGATCATCTTCAGCCCGACGTACTGGAAGTGCTTTAGCGGGTACTGCGGCTTTGTGTTGTAGGTTAAGATCCGGCGGTAGAACTGCAGCAGTACTTGGAACACTCCCTCTTCGCGGTGGTGGTACTACAACTCCGTGTCTTCGAGCAACTTTCTCTGGCGGTGGTACTATGACACCTCGTAAAGGTGTCGCCGTTCTCTGCAAGCCTTGTGCTTTTGCTGGTGGTGGTGGTGGTGGTGGTGGTAGTGGTAGCGGGGGCGTGGGTCGTGGTGGTGGCTGTAGTGTCGCTGGCGTGGGTGGCAGCGGCGGTGGTGGTGGTGGTGTTGGTGGTGGTAGCGGGGGCGTGGGTGGTGGTGTCGGCTCTCCTAAAGGTTGAGGACCAAGTAGCTGTACTAGAGTTTCACTCCGAAAGCGTCCCACAGGAAGAGGTTTCACACGAGGAGGGTGGCGCAGTGTTGACAACGCCATTGCGGACACAACTTACAAAACTTCAGGCTCCTACATACCGGCTGTTGAAACAGGAAGAGTTCTCAAAACATAAGCTCCTCCTACAAACTGCAAAGTGTGTAGTTTAGGGTTTAGGGTTTAGGGACGGTATGCGCAGGTGTTTGAGCCGAACTTGCAGGCAAGTGGAAGTCTGCCGCTCATGATGCCGATGACGATGCGGGAGCACACCCTTTGCACCTGCGCGGTACTCGTGGCGTTTATGGTTTCGGATTTGAGTATCATCTCTATGCGATTATGTACACCCCCCTGGGTTATGTGTATACATGCCTTTCTGTGCATATGCATGTTGCTGTATCATATAACAATGTGGAATACAACTTAACAGTGTGATGTATGTTCATATTGCATGTATGTATATGCTGATTGTATTATCATAAGGTAGACGGAAACTGAATATGACGATATGATCACTATTTCATATATACGATATGTACAAGATCACTTGATTTTGATTAGCTGCAGCTTGGGTCATCACACATTTGTTGCCATGCGGCCAAACTGTCAAGTACAGCAATCCGCTCGCTAATCTTCACTGCAGGACTGGCCATGTGGCACATAAAAGAGCGAGCCGCTATATTTAGTGAATATTTATATGGTTTCCAGCGACCTGGCTGCATTAAAACGCGCATTAAAAAATTAAATGTTAATGCAGCCCAGCCCGTTCCATTTAAGTTAGCATACCCATATGATTTATGTTAGCAATATATTTATCTGCATCTTTATCTTTTGTATGTTTCAGTTTTCGCGCATACTGTCATAAAATGACAATATAAGAAAATCAAATACGATGATTTGTTCTCTGTAGCATACGAATATACGATATGTTTAGCTATATCATCTTATTTAGTTTCTCTCACATTATCACAATATGATAATGTGAGATGAAACTAAATACGATGTTTACAATATGTTTAGCTATATCATCTTATTTAGTTTCTCTCACATTATCACAACATGATAATGTGAGAGGAAATAAACACGATGTGATATGGGTTGATGTAATGACTGCCTCCATAGCGTGCAGACGTAGGAACTCTTTTCCATCGCATCCTCGTGTCCGTACACACATTCGTCAGAGCGAATGTGCCGCGCAGATGTCGCTAAGATATCTGCCCCCGACATGCTCGCAAGGACAGGACAGGAGCTGGAAGTACAAGACCACTTGATTTTGATTAACTGCAGCTTGGGTCATTACACATCTGTTGCCATGCGATCAAACTGTCAAGCACAGCAATCCGCTCGCAAATCTTCACTGCAGGACTGGCCATGTGGCACATAAAAGAGCAAGCCGATATATTTAGTGAATATTTATATGGTTACCAGCGACCTGGCTGCATTAAAACCTGCATTAAAGAAATAAATTTTAATGCACCCAGGCCCGTGGAACCAAGAACCAAGAACCAAGATTCCCAGGAGTCTTGAATCCTGAATCTTGGTTCCACGGGCATCGGCCGGGTTGCATTAAAATTTGCATTAAAAAATTGAATTTTAATGCACCCAGCCCCGTGGAACCAAGAACCAAAAACCAAGATTCCCAGGAGTCTTGAATCCTGAATCTTGGTTCCACGGGCCTGGGTGCATTAAAATTTAATTTTTTAATGCAGATTTAATGCAGCCCGACCAGTGCCCACGGAACCAAGATCCAAGAATCAAGACTCCTGGACATCTTGGTTCTTGGTTCTTGGTTCCACGGGCCAGGGTGCATTAAAATTTAATTTTTTAATGCAGGTTTTAATGCAGTCCGGCCGGTGCCCGTGGAACCAAGATTCAGGATTCAAGACTCCTGGGAATCTTGGTTCTTGGTTCTTGGTTCCACGGGCCGGGTTGCATTAAAATTTATTTTTTTAATGCAGGTTTTAATGCAGCCCGGCCGGTGCCCGTGGAACCAAGATTCAGGATTCAAGACTCCTGGGAATCTTGGTTGTTGGTTCTTGGTTCCACGGGCCGGGTTGCATTAAAATTTAATTTTTTAATGCAGGTTTTAATGCAGCCGGGCCTCTGGTATAGTCATGTTCGTATGCACGATTATTCAGAGACCTATTCCATGTTGCATGTGTCTGCGTGTGTGTGTGTGTGTGTGTATGTGTATGTGTGTGCATGGGTAAAGAAGTGTGGTATCATATATGTAGACAGACGGGTTTGGAGGTAGGTCCTGGGGGGGGGGGGGGACCAAATATATATATATATATATATATTTATATATACAGTGTATAACATACCTGTATATATATATATATAAAATATACAATAAAATATACAATATATAATATATATACTATAGATACTGCCATTACCAATATATCTCTATCTAGTATGTAATATATCCTATATATACTATATAATATACTATTATACTATATATACTAAATATACTATATATACTATATAAATACTAATATAATACTATATTCTATGAATATACTATATATACTAATATAACTAGAATACGAATATACTAATAGACTATGTATACTATATATACTATATAGATTATATATACGATATATCCTATATATTACTAAATATACTATATATCCTATATATACTAATTCTACATATATAACCTATATACTAAGATATACTATATATTTACTATATAGACCTATTATACTAATTATACTATATATACTATAATAATAACGATATATACTATAATATACG